TTTTAATTCCCGCCTGTAATGACTGGGCAACCCAGAGTGCAAAAGGTCGAGACCGGGTGGAATTTGTCAAATGTGTCCAAGAAAGTTTCCTAAATCAATATGTAGAGGGCCCTACTCAGGAGGGTGCAACACTGGACCTCCTCTTAGGAATCAAGGTCGGGCAAGTGACTGAAGTGTCAGTCGGAGAACACTTTGGGTCCAGTGACCATAACTCTCTTAGTTTTAACATAGTTGTGGAAAAAGATAAGACAGTAAATGGTAAGGAGTGTTGAAGAATAGAGGGACCTAGGAGTACAAGTACATAGTTCGTTGAAAGCAGCGTCACAGGTGGACAGGGTGGTGAAGCAGGCATTTAGCACGCTGGCCTTCATTGGTCGAGGCATTGAGTTTAGGAGATGGGATGTTATGTTACGGTTATACAAGTCGTGGGTGACACTGCACTTGCTGAGTATTGCGTGCAGTTTTGGTCACCCTGTTATAGGGTAGACATAGTTAAACTGGAAAGTGTGCGAAGAAGATTTACGAGGATGTTGCCAGGACTAGTAGGCCTGAGTTATAGGAGAGGTTGATCAGGATAGGACTTTATTCCTTGGAACATAGGAGAATGAGGGGTGACCTTATTGCGGTGTATAAAATCATGAAGGGCATAGATAGAATGAATGCATATAGTCTTTTCCCCAGGGATAGGGAATTGAAAACTAGAGGGCATAGGTTTAAGGTGAGAGGGGTAGATTTAAGAAGGACCTGAGGGGCAACTTCTTCATGCAGAGAGTGGTGCGTGTATGGAATGGGCTGCCAGAGAAAGTGGTTGAGGCAGAGACAATAGCAAAATTTAAAAAATGTTTGGATAGGTACATGAATGAGAAGGTTTAAGAGGGATATGGACCAAATGCGGACAATCGTAACTAGCTGAGTGGGCACTATGTCCAGCATGGATCAGTTTGGGCCAAACAGCCTGTTTCCATGCTGTATTATTCTATGGCTGGAGTCAGATAAAAAAAGATGATTACGTCCTTGGCTTAGTCACAGCCTTGTAGAAGTTCTTTTTAATTAAGATTCATTAAAGGGATATAGGCTTTGCTGGCTGGACCAGCATTTATTGCCCATCCCCTATTGTACTCAAGAAGGTGAGCTGCCTTCTTAAACCGCTGCAGTTCATTTGGTGTATGTACACCCACAGTACTGTGAGGAGTATTCCATGATCTTGGCCCAGCAACAGTGAAGAATATCTTTCTAAGTCAGGAAGGTGAGTAGCTTGGAGGGGAACTTGCAGATGGGGTTCCCATGTATTTACTTCCCTTGTCCTTCTAGATGGAAGTATTTGTGGGTTTGAAAGGTGCTGTCAGAGTCATACAGCATGGAAACAGATCCTTCAGTCCAACTTGCCTATGCTGACCAGGTTTCCTAAACTAAACTAATCCAATTTGGTTGCATTTGCCTGTATCTCCCAAACCTTTCCTACTCCTGTATCTGTCCAAATGTCTTAAATATTGTAACTGTACCTGCATCTACCACTTCCTCTGGCAGTTCATTCCACATACAGATCACCCTCTGTGTGAAAAAAAGTTGCCTCTCAGGTCTCTCATAAATCTTTCTCCTCTCACCTTAAAAATATGCCCTCTAGGATAGGTGAGTCTAAAACTACGGAAAAGACCTTTGCTATTCACTTTATATATGCCCCTCCTGATTTTATAAAATCTTTAAGTTCACCACTTAACTTCCTACATTTCAGAGAAAAAAGTCCCAGCCTATCCAGCTTCTCCTTATAACTCAAACCCTCCAGTCCCAGTAAAATCTTGGTAAATCTGTTCTGAACCCTCTCCAATTTAATAATATCCTTCCTATAGCAGGCCGACCAGAATAGTACACAGTGCTCCAAATGTGGCCTCACCAATGACCTGTACAACTGCAACATGATGTCCCAACTCTTATACTCAATGCTCTGACCAATGAAGGCAAGCATACCAAACGTCATCTTCATTACACAAAACAAAAAAAAGCCCTAAAGCACTGCAGGTGCTGGAAATCCGAAACAAAAACAAAAACAGTCAGCAGGTCTGGCAGCATCAGAGGAGAATGATAAAAAGAGTTAACATTTCGGATCCAGTGACCCTTCTTCAGAACAGATGTTATTTGTATGGCCAGTCTCATTCTGCTTTTGGTCAATAGTAACCCCAGGATGTTGAAAGAAGGGAAATTCCGTGTTGGCAGCTGCATTGAATGTAAAAGGGCTACAGTCAGATTCTCCCTTGTTGGAGATGGCCGTTGCCTGACACTTGTGTGGCACAACTTTAACATCACTGGTCAGCTTGCCTGGATATTGTCAGGTCTTGCTGCATTTGGACAAGGACTGTTTCAATACCCAAGAATTATGCAATGGTACTGAAATGTGGAATTATCAATATACATTCCCAGTTCTGACCATATAATGGAAGGAACATCATTGATGAAGTAGCTAAAGATGGTTGGGCCAAGGACACTTCTGAGGAATTCTTGCAGTGATGTTCACAAGTTGAGATGACTGACCTCTTAAAAACTACAACCTGTGAGGTTAGTGCAAGGTCTGATTCCAACCTAGTGTTTTCCCTGATACCCATCGCGTCCACTTTTGCTATAGTCAAATGCAACCTTAATATCAAGGGCGTAATTTTTACCTATCTGGATTTCAGCTCTTTTGTCCATGTTTGAACCAAGGCTGCATGGAGGTCAGGAGCCAATTGGCCCCGAAGGAACCCAAAGTTAGCAGGTTAGTGTTAACCAAGTGCTGTTTGATAGGTTAACAGTGGTCAAGAATAGAACAATGGGGCAGTAATTGATTGAGTTGGATTTGTCTTGCATGTACAGGACATACCTGGGCATTTTTCCACATTGATTGGTAGATACCAGTGTTGTAGGTGTACTGAAACAGCTCAGCTACGGGAAGCAACAGGTTTGGAGCACAAATCTCCAGTACTATATATAGCCTTTACAGAATCCAGTCCCTAGTGACTATTTCTTGTTATCACAGTGAGTGAACTAAATTGGCTGAAAACTGACGTGATGCTGGGGGCCTCCTTTTGCGAGCTGTTTCAGTACTGTGATGGAGTTCCAGGAAAGATGGGCACAGGGACCTTTCAGCTACTTGCACCACCATTTTCAGACACTCATTATTTTCAATCTCCACACAAAATGTTTCTAATATGTAATACTACAGTGAATCTAGATGGTACACATTGCTACCACTGTCGATGTCGGTGTAGGTAAGAATGCTGAAGTGGTGGATAGGGTGTCAATCGAGCTTCTTTGTCTTGGATGTTGTAAACGAACTGTTCTTGGTGCTGCATGCATTCAGGCAAGTAGAGGGTATTTCATCACACTCCAGACCTGTGCCTTGTAGATGGTGAAAAGTCACTGGGAGGTCAGGGGACAAATTACTCACAAGAAAATTCCCAGCCTCCAACCTGACGATGGCTGGTGGTTGGGACGAGGACACTGGAGTCTAATGGAATAATGATGAAATTCTGAGCCTAATGAAATTCCTTCTAAGAGCAAATCTTTAAAAGCATAAAACTTTCTTTTCAGTATATGATTTAAAATCTTTTGGTATTGTGAAGAAACTATTTCCTTTAATCTGCTATTTTGTTCTTGAAATTCAAAATTAGTCACAAAGAAAATAGGTCATAGCTGTGGATATGGCCTCAGTGAAATAGATTAATAAAATGAAATAAATTAGTGCGATGACTATGTTGTCGGTTTAAAAGTCGATTCAAAAATTCGAAAGTGTGCTTTTTTTTTTTGAGGTCAACATCACTTTAAGCAAAAGTTAGGTTGTGTTTGTTTTCTGGAATTTAGACATCGATAACTTGGAGCTTGAGTGAATCTTCCCAGAGTTATTTTTCTCCTCATTTTGTCTCAATCTTTAAAAAAAAAAGTGCTGTCACTTCTAGAAGATTAGATAAGTTCAATGAACCAACCTACCTTTCTCAAATACTTGGATATAACTTGTTTGCATTTTGGCCTTTAGGTTAGCCTGGATTTTCTCCTGGTCTGACAACTGTTATTCCAGAATAGTTGGGAGTTGCTCCATAACACATTTTGAAGGAAGTGAAGATTCCATTTGGCAGTTCATCTACAGATAGAACCCTCCAAAAGTCTCCATAAATATCACACAATTTCATTGGAACCATCCAAAATCAGTAAAGTAGTTACTCAAGAAAATAGTCTAACTGAGCAACCATTTAATTGACCTCACATCCCTAACTACACCTCTGCTAGGCCTTTTACTTCCCTCAGACACTTAGCTGTCACCCCATGGGATTCAATCTCCCTCCTCATTCTGCACCCAACCCCATCCTCCACCACCATCATCCCTTCAGGACATATTTCCCCCCTCCATTCTCTGAATCCAAACGTAGTGAGACTGACCACCTTGATCCCCCTATTCCCCCCTTCCTCCATGTGACGCCTGCCAAACCTGACACACCCAACCCACAACCTGCACTAGAGCTGATTTCTTCCACCCACTTCAAACTACTTAAACACTGCACATACCTATCCCCTTGAAGTCTGTCACCTACCAACTTGGCATCCTGTGTGGCATCTTGCATCCTATACCCCACTCTCCTGAAAGGAGGTGTTTGGACCTTTAAGTGTCAGAATAGAGTAGGTGAATGCTTTGAAAAGGGGACTTGCTTTGCCTTCCCATGACAGTTCCGGACAACAAGAGTTGTTAGAATGGAAGTACGGCCCGGCAACTCCAAATCTCCTCTCAAAAAATAGTGTAGTGCTCCTCCCTTTAGTAAAAAATGGATTTTGCATGAGATTGCCACTCTTCTCCACCCTATATTTAACTTGTTTGCATTTTTGGCCTTCAGTTTCACCTACGTTCTTGTTAAGAGAATCTCAGTACTACGGTTACTGAGGACAGGCTCATTACCACAATGCCAGGAACAGGAACAACACGTAAGAATTATCTCCAACAAGCATAAGCAGTTATACAGATATACAGCACCAACAAGAAATAAATATCATACTTTATTGAATGAAACAAAAAGTAATTTCCTTCAGCACCAAAATTGTGAATACAATGTTAAAAGAAATGACTGCAGTTATTATGAAGCTTTCAGCCTTAAAATATGCCAGTAAAAATTAATAAAATATTACTGAGATTAAAATGACAGAAGTCAGTCTTAAAGCATAGATAAGCTAAATAAAACAAGAGATAAAAGACAGTGAGCAAATCAGTCAGAATAAGTATTTTACATTTCATTATATTGTTATATAAATGCTTAAGCTTAAAAATTAATTTATACTTTTTTGTTGCTCAATAAATACTTTGTTTATTTAGGATTAATATTTAAAGCAACCTTTTTATGTAGTGGATGTTTTAATTATAACCAGAGTATAATTTGTTCTTTAAATCATTTGACATCATATTTAAAGTTTAAAATATTGTGCTCATGTGTTTCTTCGAGTGAGTTCAAATATTGCACAAAGCCAGTCAACTCTGCCTTTTCTCGTCTCATTAACATCCAAAAACTATAGATTCAAGCAGCTTCTAATTGGCTGGATCTGAAAATGCTGTACCCTGGATATTACAATTATTATGTAGAACTTATTACGTACAAGTTATTGTTTCTTGGAGAGAGATATGGTAATGCACAAAAAAAATTTAATCATAACGCCAACAGGTGGTCTAAGTCTGTGTGTTGCACCACCCCAAGAATACTGTATCTGCTTTATTGTGAATGTGTCAAAACAACTCTCAAAGGGAATAATGAAACCATACCAAGTGGTCTACTCCAGCCATTATTAAAAACAAAAGCAAAATAATGCTGACTAGTTTTTGAACTGATTTGTCAACTATATGAAAAGGACAATGTTGTAAAATGAATTGAAAAATGTCAGAACTTTAGAACAATTGAATTACAGTATTTTAACCCAGATTTGTCACCCAGATTAACTGCTTACAAGTTACTTTAATTGTCAGTCAAAACACTACACATTTTGTGCTTCTTTATGTATGTCAAACCTAAAGATAGCCAGATCAGAAAGCATTTGATTATTTTAAACTTGTGATAAGCAGAAATGCCAAAAGAATTTTCTTTCTCTAGGGCCATACCAGTGAACTCCAACAAACCAGTATGTTCAGAGGGAGCGTGAGTCAAAAAGACCACACATTATTTCTAACAGTACATGTACTTCCAAAGAATTAAGCTTGAATTACTGGCCCTAGAAGTTTCTGCAGCCCTTAAAACATTTAAATTTGCCAATAAATCAATGACAATATCTAATTATTTTTTAGGAATATTACTTCATCTGAAATGTAAGTCGTATCATACTTATATACATGTTGCTATGGAACTGAACTTTAAATTTTTTTGGAATGTGAAAGGAGGAATAATGAAGATCTGTCGTTGCATATTATTACTCAATACCAAACTATTTGAAGGGAACTATTAAAATACAAAAACAACCAACATGTACATAATCTACTATTGCAATACTCTTAGCATAAAAAAATCCAGTGGCTGCTATCTAGATATAAATCCACCAGTCTTTCTTCCAAACTACTGCATTGTATGCAAGATCCAGGTTTTAAGGTGTATAGCACAAAGCATTCAATTTCATACTACTATTGTCTTGTATCTCCTGAGACAAATGCACAGGTAAATACTCTCAATATTGCAAAAATAACATTTCTGCACTTGTAACTTGAAGCAAAGTATTTTGTTAAACATGCAGATATATAATTTTTAACTATTTAATAAGGATCAGGAATTATTTCTTAAAGGAAAATGCACTTAATTTAGTCACATTTCCATAACAATATCAACTCCTAAAATGGTCAAGACAATTAGGAAACAACCAATCCAGCTAGTCAGAGTTACGAATCATTTTAGGGTGCGAGGGAAGATGTACTGATGGATAAATATCCAATCACAAACACCTCTCACACTGGTTTTAATTTTCTACCAGTCGCCTGAAGGTGATTTTACTTATCCGTCTCTAAAGAACAAATAAATTTGTTTTGATTTTTGTAAGAAAATCTATGATTCATTTTTATGGGAGTTTAATTCAACAGCTGATTATTACAAAATGGATTATTTCATTCTTTGTAATATTGTGTGTCATCTGAAATCCTGTTAATATACTTCATTATTTGTTCATGTTTGTAACTATAATTTGACACACCATTAAAGAGCAATAATACTAATCTGTGCCCTTAAGCTCTGGTTGTTGGATAAAATTCATCATATCTGTTCCAATCTTAAAGAATACAATGAACAAGACCTTAGAACTAAATTCTGATGCCTGCTCTCTAGCAAAACAGTGAAAATACAGAATGTCCACATGTAAAAATACCATCAAAAGCATTGTCAGATTTAACAGCACAGGTTTGTAAACTTGGTATACTTTCAAGCATATAACCGTGTTTTCATACATTCTCTCTTCCCCAAAGAAATTGTGCATTGTCCCAGATTTTTAAATGTTCTGTAAAATAGTGTTGCATGTGTCTTGGGAGAAAATGTGACAACTGCAGAATGTTTCATTGGACAACAGAATTTCTCCATACTTTACGTCCAATGCTGAATGATAAAGATGCCAATTTAATTCATAACATATTACCTCCAAATAGCTCTGTGTGTTTCTAATTCTGTGAAATGCATTCATTTACACTATATGCTAAGTAAGCTACCTGATGACAATTCTATTTTGAGCCAAGATAGTAGTGGTTCACAAAAGGTTATTACATGAAATGTTAAACAATAACTAGATGAAAAGCAATCATTTATTGTATTTTTATAACAAATATTTCAGGACCCAGATGGTGCTACCAGTAGGAAACATGTAATCAAAAGAACCCACTCAACTTTGAGATATTAAAGGACCTCCATACAGGAAAAGTAGCAATTCAAAAGCAGACTAACTCGATAACCAAGCAAGTGACATAGTAACTGTTCTGTTACTAATAGTTAACTGGGTCAATTTATTTACGCATCGTGATGTCACATAATTAGATGGTCTAAGATAGTTATGCATGAAGAACACCATTTACTCTTTCCTAGTTCACATCAATAATCTAACCATTCATTAAATAATGTTGAGCTTTTTGTCTTCACTAAAGATAGTGATCATTCTTCATTTAAACAAATAACAATCCTAAAATTGTTTCTTGCCAGTTTTAACCTATGCCCTTTTCTACTGGCCCAAATATATACACCATTTCAAAGCTTAAGAGGCTGCCTCTTGGCTCTATTCTTTCTCCAAGGCTAAAATGCCGATGTTTTTAAAGATTTTCTTCATAACTCAATTCTTTGTTGCAGTCAAGGTTCTTTGTGTCTCTTCACTACTCTGTCATTAGTTCACTTGAAACAAAATACACACAATGTTTAAAGGAAGCATTTCTCTCTTCCAAATGTATTTAAAAGCACAGACCAAAGCAAAAACATTAAACCAACATGTGACAAAACAAACCCCAGCACCACTTGCACTCATCCAGCTGTACACTGATATCAAACTATAATGGAAATATGCTGACCCGTGACAGGCATAGAAAGCTGTCGGGGCTGGGTCATTAAGTATATTCAAGGCGGAGACAGATTCTTTTAATCAGTAAGAGAATCAATGGTTACGAGGATTCAGCAGGAAATGTGGAATTGATAATCATCAAATCAGCCATATGAATGGTCTACTTTTGCTCTTATATCATAAGGTCTTAGATTATGCCACAAGTAGAATATGATTCATATGACTTAATTGAAACTCAAAGTTTAATGTCTTACAGCCATTATTATAAACACTAAACCTGTTTCTATTCCACATTTACTAAAATTCAATGATTATTTTTAAATGAGAGGTTGTACGGATTTTAAAAAGGAACCTGTAAATACCATTCTGAGCAAATGAAAATCAAATTGTGTAGATTTTTTTCCTGCCAATTTGCATTCCTTTCTTTTGTGTAAATATTGTTTTACACTGAAAAATGATGACTTAGCCCATCATATGAGAAATGGGACCATATTTGAAATTTTGGTCAAGTTAAACTAAGTTTGTTCATATTAGTTGTGGTAATAATAATAAATTATTGCTGGTGGAAGCGGAACATCATTATAATTCAATGTTTACCATGTTTGAACAATAAGCCAATTCATATCATTGATCAAATCACACACATGAAGATAGGAACAAGCTTCTTGGAAGCCAGCAATATTTCCCCCAATTTATTAACATATTTTCAGATGTGGTACATTTTTATTGAAGTGTTATAATACGTTTATCTAAGGCTGCATTCAGTGAACTGAGGAAAAAAGTGCTTCGACTAGTCATCATACTTTCAGTTAAAAGATTAGGAAGTTGGTTTCAACAGCCTGAATGGTTTGCAAGAAATTATGATTTTAAAAAAGTGAAGGAACAATACTGATAGAGATCCGGTACTCTGTCGAGTTACATTTATTCAATCTTGACCAGAACACGGCCTGCACTTAAAGGGCGTAAATTGAAAAAAGGACACTACAGAAAACTATATTTTGACAAAAAATGGTCATGGAACAAGCTTAGGGTGATGACAGAAGCTATGTACTCAAATGCAAATTAGCTAGATTTCCTTCAGAAAATATTTTGGAATTGTATCGACAAATTTGAGATGTGACATACCAAGTGTTGAAAATAGAGTAACCAGTAACTTTGGACCTATGGTTTCCAAAGTTCTCCAAACAGGTGTTCTTATCATCATGGCTTGGTCCGTCTCAGATAGCTGTTAGAGATTTATTGCTATGATTAGTTACCATTTCTACTATCATACTATCACCCAACTATCAGAAGGTGAGCTAGAAAGATTGCAGTCTTTGTTCGGCAATTCCCATATTCTCTTTGGTTAATCAACTTTATTTTTCTAGGAAATGATCAGTTAAATGTTTGGAATTTTACCTTTTAAAACTAGTACAGTTCACTTAGTTTGTCCAGTTTGAAATTTGGTTTATATGGCATTTCAAAATAGGAAACTGATGTGAAATATACACAAAGATCTAACCTAATTGTAGGAGTTTTAAAAATTAAAGCTCAAATGAACGTAGTCACTAATGGAAAAATAAGCACTAGCATGAACGAAATATTAATTGAACAGTGATAATGTTTATTTAAGCCTCAACTCTCTGCAATTTATTTTGCCCTCCTACACACACCCACAGATTACTACTGCAATCCAATTCTTGCATGTAGTTAATATGCAGCACTCTGGTTGATTAACAGAAATAAACTGAAGGTTTAGAACACATGCAAGTGATTACTAATCAAACAAATAATTGCACAAACTCTTCTACTAAATCTAGATGCAAAAAAACCTACATAATGATTCATGTTGACAGAACAAGCAAAGCAACTTGCAGCTTCTTTTTATAATATTGCGTTTTTGCCGAAACTGCTAACTAAGCATTTTCAAATTTATTTTTAGTATCAAAAAATCTTATCCTTTGGGAAATAATCCTATGTATTCATCAGCCACCTCTGAAGTCAGTCAGTTTGCTTTTAAAATAGGATTGCCTTCGGTGTAACTAGACAGGGGCTTAAATGAACATTTTTATAGATATATATTTTAAAAAGACAGTAGTGACAAGAACAGTTTAAAATGTCTAGTATTTTAAAATACTTAAGAGCTAATAATTTAAACTTGCTTTGTCATGAATAAAATGAAACTTGAATTAACAAGAAAATCTATGTAGTTCTCAAACATACAGAATGCTTGCGAAAATAAATAATTGTAATTTTATGTCAGTTTTATGTTAAATGATCAAATGACTCTCTCGTGTGCACAAAGATCGAAATTACAAAACAACCTTGAAATGCGTTCTCAGCACTAATGCCAAATTCAAAAAGCATAAATTAAAAACCTGTAAGAAGCTACAACTTGTCTTTAACTTTATCTTTAGAGATAAAATTAATAGTCAAAGCAACTGATATTTTTATACCTACATGTTTCAGAAATTGTTAAACTTTCTTCATTTTTAGTTTGGGGTGTGTTTGATCAGTGCATTAAAAGATACAATGTGGCACAACGCTTACTTTGTTTGGATTCAGAATTCATAGTAACTCTGTTCGATGCCCTGACAAGATTGTGATTATTTCTTCCTCCCTAGTTGGTTGTTCATGCTAATTTAACTGATAATTATTTATAAACACACAATTTTCAATACTGTACTTCCATATATAACCAGAGATAATTTGAAATTATGCCCTTTGTTAAAAATATAAATATATTTTAAACCATGTCTGCAGTAATTTAGTTGGAAGTCAAGAGATTCCTGTTCTTCACACATCATGGTTTATTAACCACTATTGGTATGTAAACGTCCATATCAAACTCCCAGATAATCTAAATTCAAGGGAAAAAACCACCTAACTTTAATTGAAAATAATTCAATTTGTCCAACACCGATCCCAGTTTTCCTTCCTTGACAACAAAGTAATTCTACAGTCTATGATATACATACGTAATAAATAAAATAAATACAAATCTCAGTGTTACTTAAAACCTAAATTTTAGACCAGCAATTCCTATTGAAACTAAATTCTTCTCGCATATTTTCACACATTTTCTGAAATGATTTAATTCAATTCATTTAAATTAGGGCTATAAAAAGTTTTGATTCTCTTAAGATTTTTCTGTGCTTAATGCAATGCTGATGTACACTGGAAGTATTCTATCTTAACCATTTAAAAACTTTTCTCTTTCTGGTCATGCCTAGTTTTTGCCCCATTCATTTGGGATCTGCCTATAGCTTCAGACCTCAAATAAATGCGTTACACCAACAAGAGGAATATCAATAAGTAGCCATCTGAATAAACATTTAGATAATTAAACATACAACAAGAAAACTGATACTATAGGTTAGCACTCAATTGAATGCAAGGTGTAGTGCTTTACTAGGTGCGATTTAAGTGCATTCTTCCTCTGTAACAAAGTTTAGCACACAGTATACCAGAATTCTGCATTTAAAATATCCACATAGTGCACTTTTGTCTCCAGCCACATGGCTGAATGTTTCAAAGCCATGCTTTTTGTTGTATAAACCTAGAAATCTAGGTGAAGGGCTGAGGCCCATAGCAAAGGACATGGCCAATTTTGAAAGTCATAGACAAAACCATAAAATCAAGATGTAGTGGCTAAGGAAGACCAAGCTTAGGTTTTGCAAAGCTTGGGAACTATCTGAATTTTTTCACTGTTGAATTGACTCACTACTGTGAATAAAACTTCAATTGAAACTCCTTAAAAATATCTTTCATGCATACATAAGGCAATCTGTTCATGCACATACAGATAATTTAAACAAACGTAAGTCAGTCTGCCTAGTATTTGAATTAATTTACATGACTTTTCTATATAAATAGCTTTTAAAATCAATGTGTTACGTAATTTTATATAATTTTAATTTCTGTAAAAACTATTACTTCGCAGTAGATCATTTTAGCGGCTACCCCTATTGGCCCATTTTATTAATTTCTACAATTTTGAAGTACCAATCACAGTTAACTAATGACAAACGGTAAGCTATTCATACAAGTATACTTTTGCAAAGGTCAACCTAGGGGTATAAAGTAAAATATGCTAAAGCAAAAGTTTGTAACTTTACAGTGCATAAGACGAAAGACTCCAATTTATAGAACAAACATCTAAAACTAACTTGCATGTATACTTTGTGTCCATTTATTAAGGCATCCGGACTCTTACCTTCCAAAGTTTTGCTGCGTGTTCAGAAATGTTTTTTAAAGCTTGAAGAAAAGTTCATTTAGTGGATGGTGCCTTTGAGGATAAATTTACAGTTAGGCCATGTTTTAAGGTCAAACTGTACTCTCCATTGTTTGTACAGAAGGAAAATTGGAGGTGTTTTAATTATACTGATATTTTCTTTAGCATGCTCAATGAACATATCAGATGCTAACAGTAAAATCTTCATGCTGATTATGTTTAATTGGGATCTGAATAAAATTTACTGTGATACTCTACCATAATCACAAAAAAAATTAATTTATGTAATGTCACCTTTCATCAACTTGTGAAGAGGGCTTTTGGAAATTTTAAACATTATTTAGTACACATATTTATTAGTTTAGAAACTAAAATATTTCATTTTAGGCACAGCTTCAAGGGAAATACCTGTCTACCACTCACTGACCACCAGCTCTGCCACAGGACCACGAACAATTAATTGCACGGTGGAAGGAAGGGCAAGGTTATGTTTACAACATACAGGCCTTTTAACCTCGGTCTATAAGAGTTAATTCTCCCAGTCAGTGTAAGGTAAGCCTTCATCCTCATCATCCTCAGATTCTGGTGATGCCTCTTTAATTCTCCTTAAAGCTTCGTGGATGCTGCGAGTTAGAGGATCAGCATCGTGCAAATCAATAGAGGACTCCCTCAGGGCCTCTTTCCGAACCTTCTTCAACTTTACGCCTTTTCTAATTTGTGCAAGTATATTATTGCTGTCATCTTGATTTGGAAATGGAGGCAGAGAACGTAGGTCAACCTTTCTCAAGTGGAAGCTGCCTCGCTTCAGAGAAGCTAGAACTTCATCCATCGGTGAACTCACTGCAACAGGGTCAAGTGCAAACATCATTACAGAAACAGAATCACCCAAAATCAAATTAGTGTCTTCTGACATATAGCTTCACTAAGCAAACATTTTTAAACAACGAGTAAAGAAGGTGCAGCTTCTTTTAAGATACAGGCAATATCCAGTGAACAAATATGCAACTATAAGGTTTTGCTGAGCAGCATACAATGTACTGGGATAGGGAAGCATCTAAATATCTGGGCATATCTCCTATAAGCTCTATCCATCTCAATAAAAGAGAAAAAAAATTACAACTTATCATCCTCCTAGACTTTGTTTTGGTCCACATGGTACTCATTCAAGCACTGGAATGGTATCTTGTCTTAAGCTACAAGAATGATACCAGTCTCATCAGAATCTTATTTTTTAAAGGGCATACATGCAACTCAGGTATGATCTATACTCTCCAAGTGTTGTACAATGATTTGAGAAAGCATTTATTCATTCTAAATTAGAGAATAGTTACAAAGTAAAAACAAGAACAGGTGGTTATAATATTTTAAACTGTAAAAGCCAATAATTACCTCTCTGCTTTTTCAGTTCATCACTTGATGCTGTTTTCTTCAATTTTTTTCTGGCATTTAATAGCTGCTTGCTGTCAAATAACTGAGGTATAGGTGAACTAACAGGCTGTGATATTTCTTTGCAGTCACCTGACTGAACAGGTTTCTCTATTTGTTGCTGAGCAGTGGCTGATTCTTCACAAACTGGCATGGGTGGGGGTGGAGGGGGTAGAGGAGGTGGGGGTGGTGGAGGAACTATATCAATATTACTGATCTCTTCAACGGAAGGGCTTGGAAGTGAAACAGGTTGCAACAATTCAGGGGCAGCATCATCTCCTGAGTGGGAAGAAACACATTCCTCCTCTTGTACGATGCTTTTCAATTCGGTTGCTACGGTGGACCTTGCTCCCTTTACAAGTGCAGCTTCTTCGTCAGTTGTTTGTTGTACTTGTAATATTCCTGGAAGAGAGTGGGTTTGGTCTTTGCCAAGATAGGCCACCGAACCTGCATTATCTTTTCTTCTGACATTTGTGAAACGGAGTCTTGTGGATTTAAGTACAACTTGCCCAGGGTACCTCTAAATGATGAATGAAAAGAGAAACAAGTGATTTGTAGTGTTATGACATACGAGATAACTTATATTTTCAAGCACCTTCAATGTAATAAAACTGCATTCACAAACCCTTTATTATATCTCTCAGATTTTCAAACGTGCTCCAGAAACAATGGAGTCACTGTTGCTAAGTAGGTGAATGCAGGTAATTTTGCAAACAGCAAAGTGACAAAAACAGCAATCACAGTAACCTCAAACTGCAACAGACATCTAGTTAAGCTAGCATTTTATGGCATTGACTGAGGGAAGACAGTTTGCCTAATCAATTATGTTATTTTTGTATAGTGCTATGGGATCTTCTAACATTAAACCAAGGCTAGTTCAGTACATTCTGAATATAGTCATAGGTCATACAGCATGGAAACAGACCCTTCAGTCCAACCAGTACATGCCAAACATAATCTCAAACTAAACTAGTCCCACCTGCCTGCTCCTGGTCCAAATCCCTCTAAACCTTTCCTATTCATGTACTTATTCAAGGATCTTTTGAACACTGTAACTGTGCCCATATCCATGTGAGAGGGGTTAGGACCAGACATTGCTGGAAATATACAGAAGATCAAGCAGTGTCTGTAGAGAGAAAAACTAAATTTAAGTTTCGGATCAAGTTAAAACTGTCGGTCCCTCCACAGACACCACCTGACTTGCTGAGTATTTCAACATATTCTGCTTTATTTCATGTTTACGGCATTCACAGTACACAGGAAAATATAAGTTGGAAAGCCCACCCTTTACTGTTCCTTAATCAAGTCACACAATATATAAGAGCCAAAAATATAAAGAAAACTGTAGATAATTTAGGAAAGCTCTGGGAATTTCATTTCCAATGCCTAAAAGTGATTAAGTTCCAAATTCTATATATACAATCTCTGTCTTCAATGATATAAGTCCAGATCTCTCTTGAATGGTTGCAGAAATCAGATTTTGCTGTTATCTTCTATAACTTAGAACAAGGAACTACAGTAGGCTACTCAGTCCTTCAAGCCAGCTCCACCATTCAGTAAGATCATGGCTGATCTGATTGTAACCTCAACGCTACATTCCTGAAGATCCCCAATAACCTTTCAGCTCTTTGGTAATTAAGAACTGATCTACTGCTACATTAAAAATATTTAAAGATTCTACATCCACTGCTTTGAGGAAGGGAATTCGAAAAACTCTCAACCCTCAGAAAAAAAAATGTTTCTTCATTCCGGTTTTAAATGGGCAACCCTTTTTAAGCTATGAACCCTAGTTCTAGATTTTCCCACAAGAGGAATCATCGTTTCAACATCCACTTGGTCAAGTCCCCTCAGGATGTTATATGTTTCCATTAAGTCTTTACCTCTTCTACACTCCAGAGGATATAGGCCTAGCCTGTCTAGTCTTTCCTCATAAGGCAATCCACTCATTCCAGGTATTAGTCTAGTAAACCTTCTCTTAACTGCTCCCAATGCATTAACATCATTTTGTAAGTGAGGTGACCAGTATTGTACACAGTCATTCAGATGCGGCCACACCGACGACCTGTACACCGAAACACAAGCCCCCTACTCTTGCATTCAATTCCCGTCATGATAAAACATAACATTCTATTAGCTTTCTTCATTACTTGCTGCGCCTGCACACTAACCTTCTGCAATTTATGCACTAGAACAGCCAGATGTCTCTACATTTCAGAGCTCTGCTGCCTCTCACCATTTAGATAATATGTTTCTTTATTCTTTCTGCTGAAACGGACAGTTTCACACTTTTCCATATTACACTCCATTTGCCAGATTTTTGCCTATCTGTATCCCTTTGTAGGCTTCTTATGTCCTCTTCACAACTCACTGTCCTACCTACCTTTCACTCTTCAGCAAATTTAGCTACCACACGTTTGATCCCTTCATCCAAAACATTCATAAATTGTAAACAGTTGATGTCCCAGCATCAATCTCTGTGGCACACCATTGATGACATCCTGCCAGCCTGAAAAAGGCTCACTTATTTCTACAATCTGTTTCCTGTTAGTGAGCCAATCTTCTATCCAGGACAATATGTTACCCCTTACACCATGAGCATTTATTTCCAGCAATAACTTTTGATGTGGTAACCTTATCAAATACATTGTGGAAACTTAAATACAATACGTCCACTTGTTCCCTTTTACCTACATCACAAGTTACTTCTTTGACAAAACCATGTTGGCTCTGTCTGATTACCTTGAATTTATCCAAGTTATATCCTTTAACCTATACTCTTTAATAATAACTTCTAACATTTTCCATATGAAAGATGTTAAGCTAACTGGCCTGCAGCTTCCTGCCCCCCTCCTTTTTTGAATAAAGGACTTCCATTAGCTAATGTAAAGGAACTGTTCTAAAGCTAATGAGTTTTGGAAAATTAAATAAAATCAACTATCTGACTGGATACTTCTTTTGAGACCTGAAGACAAAATCCTTCCAAACCTGGGGACTTCTCAACGTGCTCAATTTTACTCAGACTTCCTTGGTAATTGTAAGTTGAGTTTCTCTCTCCTTTTTAATTTCTGACATACAGCTATTTCTGGAATGGTACTTGTGTTCTCTCCAATGAAGACTGACGCAAAATATCAATTTAATTCATCTGCCATCTTTTTAACCTCCATAACTAACTCCTTAGACTCATTTTCCACAGCACCAATGCTTACTTCGTTAACTTTTCAATTTTAAAGGTTTGTATAAAGATTTCCTATCCACTTTCATATTTTCAGTTAACTTTCTCTCATACTCTTAATTTTCCCCCCTTTTTTTCATCTAATAGTTACTTTTTGCTTATTTTTAATATTCTATCCAATCTTCTAACCTGCCACCCACCTTTACTGAATTATATGTCTTCTCTGAATTTGATACTATCTTGGAAATGTTTAGTTAATCACGGATGGCAGGTCCTATGGGGAGGTGATGGCCTACTGGTATTATCGCTGGACTTTTAATCCAGAGACCCAGATAACGTTCTGGGGACCTGGGTTCAAATCCCGCCATGGCAAATGGTGGAATTTGAATTCATTAAATATTTGTCGATTGTCAGGGAAGAAACCCATCTAGTTCACTAATGTCCTTTAGGGAAGGAAACTGCCATCCTTACCTGGTCTGGCCTACATGTGACTCTAGACCCACTGCAATGTGGCTGACTCTGAACTGCCCTCTGGGCAATTAGGAATAGGCATTAAATGCTGCCTGGCCAGCGATGCCCTCATCCCATGAATAAAGAAAGAAAAAAAGAATGTTTCTTATCTGTTGGAATCTATATCTATTCTGTGTTTTCTGGAATATTCTGAATTTTCTAAAATGTTTGCCACTGCTTCTTTATTGATTTATGCCTTAACCCAAATTGCCTGTTTACTTTCACTAGGTCTGTTCATGCCCTCATAACTGCCCTTGTTTACATGCAGAATAGTCATCTTGGACACACTTCTCTACCTTAAACTGTATGTAAGATTCAATCATATTATGGTCACTGTAATCCAGGGGCACTTTCACTATGAGGTCAGTCATTAATCTTCTCGCACTGGTCAAAATCAGGTCTAGTACAGACTGCTCTCTGGTTAGTGCCATAACATGTTGGTCTAAGAAATTGTCCTGGAAAACATTCAATGAATTTTTCCTTTAGATTACTTTTGCCCGTGATTTTTTTCCAGTTCATATGTAGGTTAAATTACCCCATGATAATTGCCGTATCCTTTGACAAATTCTCCTTATTTCTCCCCAGTTACCCTGTCCTACCATATAGTTACTGTAAATTTGTTTAATCTTGCTTAGAGTTTGCTTAATTCTATAAATTCTGTCCCCTTTGTTTGAATTTCCTTTGTACATGATAATTAAATGAACTTAATTTACCTTAATCAGTGGCAGATGCAGTATAATTTGGATAAATGTGAGGTTATTCACTTTGGAAGGAAAAACAAGAAGGCAGATTACTACCTGAATGGCTGTAAATTGGGAGAAGGGAGCGTGCAGCAGGGCCTGGGTGTCCTTGTGCACCAGTCGCTGAAGGTAAGCATGCAGGTGCAGCAGGCGGTAAAGAAGGTAAATGATATGTTGGCCTTCATTGCGAGAGGTTTTGAGTACAAGAGCAGGGATGTGTCACTGTTGTTATTCAGGGTCTTGGTGAGGCCACACCTAGAATATTATGTGCAGTTTTGGTCTCCTTTTCTGAGGAAGGATGCTCGCTCTCAATGGAGTGCAGTGAGGGTTTACCAGGCTGATTCCAGGGATGGCGGGACTGACATATGAGGAGAGGCTGACTATGTTAGGATCATTTTTGCTGGAGTTCAGACGAATGAGAAGGGAGCTCAGAGATTTATAAAATTCGAACAGCACTTTCAGGGTAGACGCAGGGAGGATGTTTCCAATAGTGGGTGTGTCCAGAACCAGGGGTCACAGTCTGAGAATTCAAGATAGACCATTTAGGACAGAAATGAGGAGACATTTCTTTACCCAAAGAGTTGAGAGTCTGTGGAATTCATTACCACAGGAAGTAGTTGATGCCAAAACATTGAATGTATTCAAGAGGCGGCTAGATATAGCACTTGGGGGGTATGGGGAGAAAGCAGGATTAGGCTATTGAGTTGGACGATCAACCATGATCATGGTGAATGGCGGAGCAGGTTCGAAGGGCCAAATGGCCTCCTCCTGCTCCTATCTTCTATGCTTCCATGTTTCCAACCATACAACATTACTCCAGTATTGCAACAAAATGTCCCTCAAGCCTGCAGTGGGGCTTGAAGGTATGCCATTTTGTTTTGGTGAGGGTGGGGATTAAAAAAGTTAGTGATATCATATGTCAGCATGATATACACAGGGGACTATAAGAATAGCAGTAAACCAGTTAGCCTACATGCAGACTCCAATATTCAATTACATCATGGCTGATCATCTACTTCAATGCAACTTTCCTGCACTGTCCCCACATCCCCAATGCCATTAGCATTCAGAAATGGAGGGGACGTGGGGGTTGGTTACCACAGCTGACTGGACAGCTCATTTGCAATCCAAAGTGATGCCATCAGCGTTGATTTGACTCCCGTAGCAGTTAAGTTTACCGTGAAGGTATCTCCTTTTCAACCTTTTATTCACTTCTGAGGCGTAGCAACCCTCAGGTTAAACCACCACCAGCCAAGCTGTCCTATGGTCCGGTAGGACTATGGTGATTTTACCTTTACCTATTCAGAAATGATTTATGTCCCAAATGTGCTCAATGACTTATCGTTTTTTGGATGCAGTATTCCAAAGATTCACTATCCTGAGTGATCAAATGCTTTTCCAACTCAGTCTTAAATGGTCTATCCCTTATTCTGAGACTATGACCCTTGGTTCAAGACTCACCAGCCAGGTGAAACATCCCATCTACATCCAACTTAATGCTCTGTAAAAATTGAGGATGTCCTTTTTGCATATCCTTCTTAAGTAAAAGTATACTTGAATATTCAGTTCCCAATTTTGGCCACCCTTTAACCACGTCTCTGAAATGGCAATTAAATGATACACATTAACCTCTACTGATATCTTCAAGTTATCCTAAATTTCCTAAACTTTGCCTTTTTAATAGTATTCTGCATTCTGATCCTGTTTCATATGGCCTTCATATTGTCTGATTTCTCATTTCACTTACTAATTTTCCATTTCTTGTTACCAGTTTTGCTTTCCTCCAATCTGAAATTCCTCTGATGATCCTATCCTACTGTTAATCTATGATGTGGAGGTGCCGGTGTTGGAATGAGGTGGACGCTCTGAAAGTTTGTGATTTCAGATAAACCTGTTGGACTATACCTGGTGTTGTGTTACTTCTGACGCTGTTAACCTAGTTTAACTCCTTCCCAAAAGAAGCCGCAAATTTCCCTATACAGATGTTTGTCCTGGGTCATTCTACAGTGCAATCTGTCCGTCTCATGCAGGTCCCAACCTGCCCCAAAACTAGGTCCCAATTCGTCAGAAGTACGATGCCATCCTTCCTATACCAATTCACGATCCATGTTTTCAATCATTCAACCGTCATATTCCTATGATCAGTAGAATTTGGCAGTCAGAGAACCTCAGAGATTATACACCGTTTTTCAGGTCCTTCTTCTTCATCTCACTCATAGCTCCCCAAAAACCTGCTTCCAAGGGCTCATCCATCTTCCTAATTTCACAGAATCCGCACAGTGTGGAACCAGGCTAGTCAGCCCAACAAATCTATGTCAATTCTCCGAACAGCATCCCTCCCTATCCCTGTAACCCTGCATTTCCCATGGCTAATCCACCAAACTTACACATCCCTGGATACTGTGGGCAATTTAGCATGGCCAATCCACCTAACCAGTACATCTTTGGACTGTGGGAGGAAACTGGACTGCCCGGAGGAAACTCATGCAGACACAGGAACAATGTGCAAACTCCACACAGACAATCGTCCAAGGCTGGAACTAAACCTGGGTCCCTGGCGGGGTCAGGCAGCAGTGCTAACCACTGGTGCAATCTGGACCATGACCTTTGGCTATTTACCCTCCCTCAGAACAATGTCCTGCAGTCATTCTGTGACATCCTACTATCATGGAGGCAATAAACAATCTGCAAGTCATGTCTTCAGTCACACAGCCTTTGCTCTATTCCAGGAGAGATACAGCAAAGGCTACGAGATAAAAGGCCACCATTTAAGAAGAGATTCAACATTAGATCAGGGTGTCAACTGAGCCTTTGACAGAATACAATAAGAACTGCTCAACAACAAAATGACTCAGTGTCCACAAATATCCTCATGAATAGAGCAGCTGTCATCACCACACTCTTGCACTGCACTGAAACATGACTTGCATCAGTGACACAGAATGCTTGGCAAATCCATTAGCAATATCTGTGCCACATTCCCATGTTCAATGGAAAGAACACCGAACAAAAGCTAGTCTCATTCTTCAAGCCAGCTCCTGAATGTTCAGGCAAAACTTCGACAAAATCAAATCTGGGTATCGAGAAGCCTAGTGAGTACTTTCCTCGCAAAGTGCTGTTTTCTCAACTCCATAAAAAACACTTCAAAGACACTCAGAAGCTTTCTATGAACTCCGACAACACTGACATTAATAACTGGGAAGAGCTTGCTACCAATTATTCAAAACGGCAGCAATCTACCCATGAAGCTGTATCATGCTTTGAGTGAGGATGCCTTAATGATGAGAGAAAGTAGCAGCAAAGAAGGAAGAAAAGGAACCAATCTGCACACTCAATGCCACTATCTTGAGGATGTCAAGTTCAATGTGCACAAACATATCTGGATCAACAGTTGGTCTGTTCGGCCATGTGAAGGCCTATGGCAGAAACCTGGGTCCCAAAGTTAGCCACAAACTGAGGAACAACCAACGAAGAGCTCTATCAATACTGATGACTTGTGCTCCAGAACTTGCCATACACTTAGCAATACAGCTACAACACTGCATTTACTTAATGTGGAAAATTGGCCAATTTATGTCCTGACTGAAAAAAAGCAGGACAAATCTAATCCAGCAACCATAAGTGAGACAACAGAATACTCTTAACCATCAGCAAAGGCTTTTTTAAAAAACATTTGTTCATTAAATGGGAATGCACTGGCAAAACCAATTTATTGCTAATTGCTCTTGAACAAGGAACCTGCTCAGTCATTTCAGAAGGTATTTAAGAGTCAACCACATTGCAATGCACCTGGAGTCACATGTAGGCTGGACCAGGTAAGGATGGCAGATTTGCTTCACGAAAGGACATCAATAAGGCAGATGGGCAATGTGGTCTTCATTAGACCAGCTTTTTAATTTCAGATTTTTGTTGAATTTAAATTTCACTATTTGCTGTGGTGAGACTCAAACCCACTTTCCCAAAGTAACAGTCTGGTGCTCTGGATGACTAGTTCAGCGACACACGACCATCTCTTCTGAAAGTGATGGAAAATGGAGTCAAGTCATATAAAAGTGCACTTACTGTGCAATAACCTGCTCACCAATGCTCAGTTTGAGTTTGCCTGGGCCATCTGGCTTCTGACCTCATTATACTTTAGTTCAAACATAAACAGCATTGAACTCCAAAGTGAGGGGAGGATAACAGTATTGACATTAAGACAGTATTTGACCAAATGTGGCACCAAAAACTACAAAATGTGCTGAGTAACTAACTCTCTAACTCCCAAACCCCTTCCACCATTTGAAACATGCAAGTCAGATTATTTACCATTTACCTGGAAGAGTGTAAATACCATCAAAATGCTTGACGTAATCCAGGACAAAGCCACTTGCTTGTTCAGCACCCATCCATTACCACTACTGTTCAATAGTAGCAGTATGTTTCAACAACAAGAGGCACTTCAGAAAACTGCTAGGTCTCCACTGACAGCATCTTCCAAACCTGCAACCTCCATCATCCACTTCTCTATGCTCATGCTTTCCTCACCTGTTTAAAGTTACGGAGCCTGTCCAATGTTTTCTGTCGCTCCTGGCTAACCCATGTACTCTTTTTCTCTTCCTCTTGTTGTTGATTACGCATCTGGAACAAACCAATGTAAAATGTACAGCACAGAGCACAGAGAATAAGCAGATCTCAACTCATCATTATATTACTTATCACAACTGCCTAAAATATCCTTAGTGGGATATATGTCATTGAACCCGATCTTTAAATCCTGAAGAATTTTTCCAAAAATAAGAAAAATTTTTGAAATAGAATTTTTGTTCAAGGTGAAGAAGGTTTATGCCTTAAGGAAGGGGTTTGTCACTATATGAAGTAGAAAGGGTTTGGTGGCATGAGCCACACTCAATTTGAATAAAATATTACTGTCTCCAGAGTAAAGTATCCTCAGTTCTCCCCACAGAATGTGTCAGAAATGCACTGAATGAGACATTTTCCCTCTTTTTAAAAACAGCTATGCTATGAACATCCTGACTGAGAGCTGCCAATTTAACACAATTATGATTCAATTATGGGAATTATTCTACAAAACCTTTTCAATTAGTAGACTAAGGAGATTTTTATTCCGTCTGCCTAGGCTAATTTTGAACTAGAGATATGCTAACAAAATAGTTGTTACTGGATTAGCAATCTGGAAACTTGGTCAAATGAGTTCAAATTCCATAATGGGAATATAAATTCAATTTGATAAAGTTTGGAATTTTAAAAAAAAACTAGCATTAGTAATAGTGACCACAACACAACAGAATTTTTTTTTAATATTTAAAATTATTTTAAAAATAACTTTGACTTGATTACGAAAGTTAGGAATTAAATTGTATTATGTTTGACTGTGGTTGTCAAAGTTTCTGCAGGGAAGATGCTATATGGCTAGGTCAGAAGTAAGATTGATGATTTTATTGCCGTTTTATGGCTCAAGCTAACGCATACTTAGACTGACATGTGAAAATGCTTTTGAAACAGACAGTTATATTTTAAAATGTTACAGATCTGTAATGTAAATTAATAGGCATTTGTGTATTAGTTTGTGTGACTATTTTGAGTTCTACTTTATTTTAGATATCAACAAATTATTGCGGAGTCACATACTGTTCCTGGAAAGCAAGGAATCTGATAATATTTTCCCAGAATTCCAGTAATATTTGATCCATTTGAGATTAAAGTCAATCATAAGGAGGTAACACTACATACAGCATACTAGACATTTTAATTATTCACTGGTGCCATCTTGACTTTGGTAAAATTTTTGGAATTTGTAAACCAATAGGGACTAGCTGTTATAAAAGGAATTACCTTATAAAATGATTGGCATGTCAAAGAATGAATGTGATGTTTAAAAGGAAGCAATGTCATCAAGTTGACTGTTATGTTGAAAGAAATCAATCAGGAACGGACACGTATTGCTCAGCCAATCATCTATTGACTTTTAGTGCACTTTCATGCACTAATAATGATACTCCACAAATGATGATACCCTTCAAGTGATAATAAGCTGGGGAGAATAATGAATTGCGAGGATGATGCTGAGTGATTTCAGGAGGACAGTGACAAGGTGGCCAATTGGGCTGATATTTGGCAGATGAATTTCAATGGAGATAAACACAAGGTAATGCATTTTGGTAAAAGAAACATGGAGAAACAATACAGGCTCAATACTACAACTTTGAGGAGAGTACAAGAGCAGGGGGATCTCGGGATTCACATACAGGATTCTCTGTAGGTGGCCAGACAAGTTGGAAGAGTTGTTCAGAAGGCTTATGAGATCTTTGGGTTTATAAATAGAGGAATAGAGTAGAAAAGCAAGGAAGTGATACCACACCTCTACAAATCATTGGTCAGATCACATTTGGAGTACTGTGTTCAGTTCTGGGCACCTTATTTAAGGAAGGATGTTAAAGCCCTGAAGAGAGTTCAAAGGAGGTTTACAAGAATGATTACAGGAGTGGAGGGATTTTAGATGCAAGGAAAAATGAGAGAAATTGAGCTTATTCTCCTTGGAGCAGAGAGGAGACACTATTAAGGTGTTCAAAATTATAAACAATTTTGACTGAGTAAAGAAGGATATTCTGTTTCCACAAGTTGGTATTCAGTAAGTAGCGGTTGCAATTAAGATTGTCAGCAAGACAGCTAAGAGTGAGAGGAGGAGAAACATATTTATTCAGATATTTGTTAGAATTTGGAATGGGCTACCTGGGAAAATCATGGAGGTGGACTCCATAGAAGGTTTCAAAGTGAGCTGGCTATGTATTTGAAAGTGAAGAGGTTAAAGGGCTACAGAATCGTACTAGCTGGGTGATCTTTCAGGAGCTGCACGGACAATGGTCAAACAGGCTCCTACTGTAATGTAAATTTCTGTGATTCTAATAAGACATTTTAAGTTCAAGATGCCTTTGATCATGATGGTCGTAGTGGAAAGTAAGGATTAATAAGGCCTGGCGTTTAGAGATTTGATGCACAAGGAGGAACATGCAAGACAGAATAAGACCTTCTGTCAAGAGAACAAAGAGACTTTGAGACTTATGCCCATTCAAACCAGAGCTGCAAACCAGCATTGCACTACAAACTGTAAAACTACTGCTTTTATTACATATCATTTCTTTTGTTCTTATGAGAAAGTTATGATGAATTCTGTAAAACCTATGAAACCATATTTGTATTTTCATTGGGTCAAGTAACTAATCAGGTCTAATAAACTTTAGCTTGGCTCTTTTGAAAGTCAATCTGTAATTCGAATTGATGCAATTAAAGTTGACGTGTACCTCTAAATCTTATAAAACTATTTGGAAAACCCATCAGTAATATTCTTTAGGTGAAAAATAATCAATGATCTTTACCCAGATCCACAGCAATTTGACTGCCTCTTAACTCCCTTTTGAAATGGCCAAGAAGCTAGAAAGTTATAGCTCAACATATTACAGCTCAACATATTACAGAATTGTTATGGTGGTGGAGGAGACCATTCAGCCCATAGTGCCTTCACCTGTTCCGTTACCTAATTGCAATTTTCTGCCCTTTGTCCCCCCATACTCCTGCATTCTAATTTGATCTAAATCATCATGCAATGACCTCTTGAATGCCTCAAACTGAATCTGCTTCTAGCACATTTCCAGGCAGTGCCTTCTGCTCCTTAACTACTTGCTGTGTGAAGAGTCTTTTCCGCACATCACTCTTGCTTCATTTGGATATCACTACATTTATGCGCTCTCATTTTTTTTGTTTTACAGGAGCAAGAACAGCTTTTCCCCATCTACTCTGCCCAGGCCACTCATGTTTTTGAAAATCACTATCAAATGTCCTTTCAATCTTCTTCTCTCCAAGGAGAACAGCCCCAATTTTTTCAAATCTATCTTCATAACAAGTTTTTCATTCATGGAAGCATTCTTGTAAAACTCACATTCTCAAGGGCAGTTAGGGATGATCAATAAACCTATTAGTGACATTCACATCCCACGAATGAACTAAAAACAAAGTAAGCCAACTGAATGTTTTCTTTTATTGGGAATAAGTGAAGCAGCATTTCAGGCTTTTTAACAGTTTTGAAACAAATTATTCCTCGTCTGTCATTTAACGTTTAATGTTAAATTCAATTGGTCCATCTAGTTGTTTTAATCAAGCAGCATAGGGCAGGTACACAACAGATTAAGTGAAGGATAAAACCTTCCTTGCTCTTTTCTCCTCAATTCAAAGTTTGGAACAACTTACATCAATTTTGCACCTTTAAAGGAAGTACAATAGTCCAGGATACTTCACAGGAGTGTTAGCCAACATGACACAGCCACATCAAGCTACCACAGCACAGGTTTGACCTCTCAGTTCCCACATCAAATTTTGAACAATTTGCCAGTTTCAAATCTGTAACCCATCACAGCCCCAAGGAATAATCTGGAAAGATGTACCCCAAAGAATTAAAGCTGCAATCTTACAAACACTCACAAAGGTTGCACCTGAATTTTATTTCTTTAAAACCATCAAAACATAAATATCTTTGTCATACATATTAATCTTTTCAGAATATTTCTTCAGTAGCATACAGCAGCAATGAGAATGAAGAGAAGCTATTTTCTAAACAACCTGTTATGATGACCATCTGGAGCAGGTAGGACTTGAACCAAGGTATTTTTAGTGCAGAAGTAGGGACACCACCACTGTACCACAAGTACCTACTATTCAGAGATTTTCTCTAATCGACCTCTTCAGAGATGTTATTACACACCTCCAAAGCAGGTGGGGCTTGAACCCAGGTCTTCTGGCTCAGAGGTAAGGATACTACCACTGCACCACAACAGCCATTACTACACAGGAAATATTACAAATGGTAATTTAACATACTTGCTTTATAGCATGATGGCTCCTGTACTCCTCTTCATTTTGTCTGTGTTGCTTCATCTTGTCTTTGTGGCTTTCAATACAGATTTCCTACAACAATAAGTAAACATTAGAAGAAAAATTAATAAGAAACTAAATATCTTGCTTGAAGCAATGGTCTTTATCTTGTAAATCCCTTTAGCTGGAAAGATGAATGAATACCAAGATGTGTAATAGGGCAATCACAAAAACCAGCAATGTTTAAAGCAACAAGTTGAAAGGGATTAACTTTTACATTTATACAGATAATTAAAAAAAAAAACTGGAGTTAACAAGCCGGATGCAAAACTACAACTGAGAAGAAACATTTCTATGTCACGAAGCAATGCAACAGATAATGGGGTGATGTGGAAGAACTTCATAGATCAGCACATCTAAAAATCTACAGTCAGGTGAGATGTCCATTCAGCTTGCAGACCTTTGCTAGATCTTAAGACATAGGAACAGAAGTAGGCAATTCGGTCCATAAGACTGCTTCACCATTACGATATCAGGGCTGATGATAATCCTCAACTCCACTTTTCTGCCTTTCCCCCCCCATAACCTTCGATAGATTTTTAATCAGTAAAGCTACCTCAGCCTTGAATACACTTACTGGCCCACCCTTGACTGCCCTCTGAGGTAAAGAACAGATTCATTACCCTGAAAATTCCTCATCTCTTAAAAGGGGGACTCCTTACTCAGATTCTGCCTTCTCGTCCTAGAGTCTACCACAAGAGAAAACAACCTCTTAGCACCTACCCTAACAAACACCTAAGAATCTTGTAGGCTTCAATAAGGTCTCCTTTCATTCTTCCAAGTGGAAGGTGAAGTCGTTATCGTCCTGGATCATAGGCCTGCTCTCTCATTAGAGAAAGACGACTGGTGGTGGTTTAACCTGAGGGTCACCACGCCTCAGGCAAGCGAAGGGGCTGACAAAGAGAGTCCTTCATGGTAACCTCAGCTGGTGTGGGAATTGAACCCACATTATTGACATCACAAACAGGCTGTCCAGCCAACTAAACTAACACAGTCCCAAAACTCCAATGAATGCAGGCCCAATCCCTCTTCAAAAGAAATTTTTTCCCTATTCAGTATCAACCAAGTGAAAGTTCACTGGACAGCCTCCAATACCAGTATATCTTTCCTTAGATAAGGGACCCAAAAATGTTCACAGTATGCTAGATGTGACCTGATCAGTGCCTTGTATCATTGTAGCTAGACCTTGATATTTTTATTCTCAACTCCCTTTCAAAGATCCCGACACTGCATTTGCCTTCCTTATTACATCCTGAACTTGGAAGCTAGCTTTTTGTTATTTTTTCATAAGGATCCACAAATCCCTCTGTTATGCAGCTTTCTGCAGTCTTTATCCATTTAAATTATATTTAGCTCTTCTACTCTTCCTGCCAAAATGCATAAACTCACATTTTCCCACAATATAATCCCATCACCAGGTTTTTGTCCACTTACTTGATCTGTCTACAGCCTGCTGCAAACACTTTTTGCCACGCTCACCATTTGCCATCCCATGTTATTTCTGTGTCATCTGCAAAATTGGTAATAACACACATACTTCCCTCATCCAAATCATTAATATATATTGTAAATAATTGTGGCCCTGGTACAGACCCATGTGGCACTCTACTAGTTACCAGCTGCTTTCCTGAAAATGCCCTCCTTATCACAATTTCTATTTTCTTTTATTTAGTCAATCCTCTATTCATGCTAATATTCTACGCCCAACACAAGGACTCTTACCTTACTAAGTAACATTGCATACAATACTTTATCAAATACCTTTTGGAAATCCTAATGTATTAAATCTACTGGCTCCCCTTTATCTATCCTGCCTATTACCTACTCAAAGGATTCTAATAAACTTGTCAACTATGTTTTCCACTGCAGGGTTCCATATTGACTCTGCTTGATTATGAATCTGTACAACGCTGTGACTATATCCTTTTATTATAGACTAACATTTCCCAACGATAAATATTTAGCTAACTGGTCTCCATTCATTCTTTTAAATAACAGTGTTACATGAGCAGTTTTCCAATCCTCTGGAACTTTTCCAGATACAAGTGTATCCATTATCTCTGTTGCTACTTGCTTTAACATCCTCGACTGCAACCTATCAGGACCTGGAATCTATTCAGCCATCAGTATCCTTATTTTTCTTCTCTAGTGATTCTTATTACATTTATTTTCTCCCTACCTTTTGCCCCTTAATTAAGTAATTTTGGAATGTTGTTAAAGTCTTCTATCATGAAAACTGATGCAAAATATCTGTTCAACTCCTCTGCCATTTCTGGTTTCCACTGCTATTTCCCAAGCCTCCTTTTCTAAGGGGCCTTTTCAATTTGACTTCTTGCTTCATTTTCATATATTTTTAAAAAGATCTCAAAGTCTGTTCTTATATTATTTGCTAGGTTGCCCTCCGTTTGTTTTCTCCTCAATTTTTTTGTTCATCCTCTGCTGGCATTTAAAACTTCTCCTGTCTACTATTAATCTTTGTCACATTCTATTCTTTTTTTCAATTTGATACTATCCTCAACTACTTTCCTTAACCATGGTGGGTTTATCCCTTCCTAGGATCCTTCTTCCTCACTGGGATATATCTTTGTTAAGAGGCATGAATTATTTTGTGAAACATCTGCCATTGTTCGTAAACTGCCTTTGCTGCTAATATCCTTTACCAGTTCACTCCAGCCAACTCTTCCTTCGTTCCTCTGTAATTACCCTTATTTAAGTTTAGCACAGTTGTTTCTGACCCAAGCTTCTCACTTTCAAACTGAATGCCAAATTCTACCATATTATGGTCATTATTTCAAAGGGGTCTTTTACTCTAAGATATTTGATTAAACCTGCCTCATTACACATTACCAGATTCAAAACAGCTTTGTCCCTGATTGGATCGACAATATCTTGTTCTAGAAACCTTTCTCAAAAACACTCTATGAATTCATTCTCTGCTATTTAAAATTACCCATGATTGATATAGTGTCTTTTTTACGCATCTCCATTATCACCTGAGTTACTGTTTATCCACAGTGAAGCTATCACAGTATAATTAAAGAACCTAGAAGACTACTGCTACCAGTATTTTCTTCCCCTTGTTATTTCTTAACTCCACCCATATGGAATCTACATCTCCCAATCGAGATCATTTCTTGCTATTGTGCTTACACCATCTCATAATAAGTAAGCTACCGTACCACCCATCTCATCCTGCCTCATCTTTTGAAAAATCACACATATATTTAGTTGCCAGCTTTGATCTCTTTATAACCATATCATTGTATTGGTTTCAGATCATACCCATTACAGAGACAAAAGCACAGACACAAGAGACACACCAGTATTTATATCTATAAAAAAGATTTCTATATCCAGAAAGTAAATCTTCGCTGTTTGAAAGACTTTCAGAATGTCTCATATAAAATCCTTTTAAACTGCCACTGCATCTCTGTGGAACCAAACATTTCCACAGTGAGAATGGGTGAGGCAGAGGATCAAAGACTCAGCTCCATTAACCTACCTGCTCACCATAACCCTTAATTCCTTTACTGTTCAAAGATCTATCTTTGCCTTAAAAACGTTCAACGAGGTAGCCTCAACTGCTTCACTAGGCAGGGAATTCCACAAATTCACAACCCTTTGGGTGAAGAAGTTCCTTCTTAACTCAATCCTTTTTTGAGGCCATGCCCTCTAGTTCTAGTTTCACCCGCCAGTGGAAACAACCTCCCTGCTTCTATCATATCTATTCCCTTCGTAATTTTATGTTTCTTACAAGATCCCCCCTCATTCTTCTAAATTCCAATGAGTATATTCAGTCTCTCCTCATAAGTCAACCCTCTCAACTCCGGAATCAACCTAGTGAACCTCCAGTGCAACCCCTCCAGTGCTAGTACATTCTTTCTCAAGTAGGGAAACTAAAACTGTACATAGTATTCTAGGTGTGGCCTCACCAGCCACCCTATAAAGCTGCAGCATAACCTCCATCCCTCTAGCAATGAAGGACAGTATTCCATTTCCCTTAATTACCTGCTGTACCTGCAAACCAATTTTTTGTGATTCATGCACAAGGACATCCAGATCCCTCTGCACAGCAGCATGCTGCAATTTTTCACCATTTAAACATTTTTCTTTTATTCCTACCAAACTGGATGAACTCACATTTACCAACATCTGCCAGACCCTTGCCTAATCACTGAACCTATTTATACCCCTCTGCATACTTTGCTCTACCACTCATCTCAGAGTCATCAGCAAACTTTGATACACTAAACTTGGTCCCCAACTCTAAATCATCTCTGTAAATTGTAAACAATTGGGGTTCCCAACACTGATCCTTGAGGCACACTAACAACCATCGATCGCCAACCAGAAAGAAACATCCATTTATGCCCCCACTCTTTGCTTTATGTTAGTTAACCAATCTTTGATCCATACTGATACATTACCTGTAAAATTGTGCATCTTTATCTCATGCAGCAGCCTTTTGTGCGGCACCTTGCTGATTGCCTTCTGGAAATCCAGATACACACATCCACCAGTTCCCCACTGTCCACTATGCTTGTAATCATGACTTCTTGTCTGTGATTTCTGTCATTAATACAGGCGCCATGGTATGGCGACTTATTAAAGTTCTCACTGTATTTTTTTGTAAAAATACGTGACAATAATGGTTTTCTTAAAAATAAAATGAAGTAAATGTTTTCACATCTACCTCAAGGATTCAAGTGCTTACCTGAGAGATTTCAATATCAGGCACCTCCACTGATCTTCCCCTCCCACCCAAAATCGCCAACCTCAACACAGCATTTCCTGAACGCTTTCTGAATTATAAGGACTCCCACAATAAGGCTTCTCATCTCCCCTGACCACCACCCGAGATGGCCCCTGATCTCTCCCCAGCTCGAACATTTATCCCACACTTCCCTTCCAACCAAGGCATCAGATTCAATTTCCAACAGTACACTCTCCACCTGGCATCATTTTCATCACCTCCTGCCAGACTTCCTGATTGTGCCGTCATTGACTGGCTTGTCACTGAACTGGACGACCAG